TTTTTATAAAATATTATATCAAAAATACTATTTAAATAAAATTTAAATTAATACTTTATTCTAAATTAATTTTAAACTACAGTCAAACAAATCTTAAGTGTATTTTAATATTAATATAATATTATTTTTACTATAATATAATATATATACTCCCTCCGTCTCAGAAGGAGTGTTGAAAGTGGGTATAAAGTATAATGTAAATGACTAAAATGTCTTTGTTTTTTAAAAGATTTTAAAGAGTATGTTAGAGTAATAATTAGGGGTAGTATAGAAAAATAAGAATAATTTTGTTATAAAGTGGAGACCACGACTACTAAATAAGGAAACAAGACAATTGTTTTGAGACGGACGAAAATGAAAAAACAAGACAAATCTTTTGGGGCGGGGAGAGTATATAGGTAAAATAGGAAAAACGATTAAAAAAAAAACATATGGCGGGGATCGAAGAATATTATTATTATTATTATTATTTTTACGAAATATCTAAACTACAACAAAATTAAAAATATTTTAATAATACTTTTGTAATTTATTATAGTGCTTTTATCTTTTTTAATATTCCCACACTCCCACATAATTTGTCCATATTTTTTATTTTCGTCTGTCCCACATAACTTGTTCTTTTTATTTTTGGAAATATAATTATGCACTTTAATCGCATTTTAAATTTTATAATTTTCTTAATTTTAATTAAACTATTTACTTATCTTAATCTTAATCTATAATTATTTTTACTAAATAATAATTATTTTTACTAATTAACTTCTTAATTATTTACTAATTATACTTTACCTAAATCCTCGTATCTACACTAATAGTCTCATATTTTCTGGGACGGAGGGAGTAACTAATAACAAAATCTTAAAATATCATAAACATAATGTTTTCGTTTTTAGGTTTTTAAGATATTTTTGTATGTCTCACGTATTGTGTTTACATTGTCATTTTTGTGTGATGTTATTTATTTTATTGAATTTTTTTTATATATTTTAATCTTATTTTAAATTTTTTAATTTATATTTTTTTAAATTTTAATTAAACTAATTAGTTATTTCAAATTTAACTTATAATTATTTTTATTATACAATAATTATTTTTATTAATATATTTTTAATTATTTATTAATTATACTCCTCTTAAATTTTTATGTCTACTATAATGTGGACACGCTCAAATGGATAAAATATTATTTATATAACATATATATTTATCAACTATATTTATCATTATGCTATTTGCATTTGTTACGTCAATGTTGTAATTACTATAAATTTATCACACGTTAACTGTTGTCCTATTTAATTGAATAGTTCATAACATCGTTGTGCATTTACTTTTGGAAAAGTTGATCTCTTTATAATGTTCGAGAAAAATTTGATCGAACCATTTTCCAACAAAAGCAGAATCATTTGATGTTACAAACATTAGGATTGAGAATCATGGGGCTATAAATCCCAAACCTAAAAACAAAAATATATATTTCTAAATTTTTTTAGCACTATTTAAGAATATCTTTTATTTTAAAAAAAATCGTAAAAGTATTTTTTCCTTACAAAATATAACTTCAAATATTAAACTTTTCATTATTTTAAAATGTTTTGAAAATTTTAAAACTTTCATAAAAAAAGCCTTTTAATGATTCATTTTATGAATATATGAGAATGATTATCATTGATTTCTTTATTTATTTGATACTTCCTCCGTCCCACGTACTATGTCTACATTGCCGTTTCTGTTCGTCCCATATTCCATGTCACTTTATTTTTTTGGAAAATAATTACACACTTTAATCTTATTTTAAACTTTTTAATTTTTTTAATTTTAATTAAACTAATTAGTTATCTTACTTTTAATTTATAATTATTTATATTATAGGATAATTATTTTCACTAATATATTCTTAGTTATCTACTAATTACATCTCTCCTAAAATACCGTGTCTATAATGTATATGGGACGGAGAGAGTAATATTTTTTATATTTCATTTCTTATCATATTCTATTTCCAACACACACAGCATCATTAACAAATTTTCAATGTGTAACACTTAAATATTTTTTTTATTTATTTATTTCAAATTTCAATTGATCAACATTTCTATTTTCTTAATGGATCATTTTTATATTAACATAGAAGCATATGTACACGATATCAATACATCACATTTTTCTAAATGATGAAAGCCACAAAAGTTATTTTTAATAAATATATATAGCATTATTGGTTGATTATAACTAGAGCCGTTAACCAGCCGAGCCGAGCCAAATTTTAAGTGTTCGTTAATATTCGCGAACAATGCTCGTGTTCGTTCGTTAAACTTTCGAGTTCGTTTGTAGTGGTCGAGTTCGGCTCGTTAAGAATTTTTGTTGTTTGAGCTCGTGTTCGTGTTCGGCTCGTTTAAGTTCGATTAAGCTCGTTCGAGCTCGTTTGTCTCATTATTTTTAATTTATATAATGAGACAAGCGAGCTCGAACGAGCTTAATCGAATATAAATTTTTTTAAAAAAATTCAAATTATTTTATTATATATTTAAAATTAATATTTTATTTATTTATAAATTATAATTTATATGTATATATAATATTTATAATAAATATATTATTTAAACAAACGTTTACGAACAAAGTTTGGGCTCGTTCGTTGATCAAACGAATCTGTTTACGTTGTTCGGCTCTGCTCGACTCGTTAACGTTCGCAAATGAACTTTAATCGAACCGAATCGAGTCGAGTTCACGAACGACTCGATTCGTTTAACCGCTCTAATTGTAACCTAAAATAAAATATTTGGGAGGTATAAGGAGTTAATAAAATAAGATTTATTATTATTATTATTATTATTGAATATGTATAATGCATTTTTATAGATAAGTGTACTGTGAAATTATATAAAAAAAATATATAAAAATTATTTGTTTATAAATAAAAAAATATATATTTTTTTTATGGATAAACAAAAAGAAAAACAGAAGAACAAAAAAATAGGTTGGTGGACCGAGGAAGCAGTATATAAATTTTGACGTGGTATTTATTTGTAAAGTTTTGATTTTGAATTTAAATTTTAAATAATTTTTTTTTTAAAATTAAAATAGTTATTTGATGGAGCTAAATCCATAGTTTAATTTGTAGCCGATTTACTCAATTTACACACAATAGCGATATTTTTTTAAATATTTATCCAAATAATTATTTAAATTAAAAAAATAAATTCTAAAATTTTTAAATTTATACCTCTCGTTCCAAAACAGATCTTTTAGTTTTTTTAAGAATACTTTTATCGTTCTGTCAATATAATATTATTATTCTTTAATTTTTGTACTCATTCCAAATATTTATATTATTTTAGAACTGTATTTTATTTAAAGCCTTCATCTCCATTTAAAATATTTTTAAAATAATAAAAAATAAATATTTAATATAATATTATATGAAAAATAAATATATGATATTCTTTTAAAAAAATTAATGTTAGCGGCCAAAACTTACAAAAAATAATAAGTATATAAAAAAGCGTTCTTATCCAATTTATTACGGTATCCATGAAACAAGAGCCATGATTATGTGTGTTTATTTTGAATGGTTTTTAGAGAAATTTGGTCAGAGTTTGGATTGTGTTTAAATTTTAGGTTAAGTTTGATTTTTTGTGATTTTTTTACCCTATTTTCAATCGGACAATTTTATTTATAAAGTTATAATTTTAAAAATACAATTGCTACGATAATTTAATTCTAATACACAATTCTATTTTCAATTCCAAAAAAATATTATCTAAATATTCTATTTTATATACTCCCTCCTAATATTAATATTATACTAGTGTAAAAAACAGTGATAATTGTATAATAAAAATGAAAAAAATAGGGATAATTTTATGGTGATATTGTTATTTATGAAAATAAGACTATTGTTTTGGAACAAATAAAAATGAAAAACAAAGCTATTGTATTGAAACTGAGAGAGTATTATTTTAAATAATTTTTATATTAAACAAATACAAATATATACCATTAAAATATAAAAAATTATAAATTAGTTTTTATAGGAACTAATTTACAATTTGCAAAATTTTTTTTTTAAAAAAATAATAATAAAAAATAAAAAACGCCAAAAATGGCGTTGCTTGCAACACCACCGTTTGGTGTTGATGTTGCACTGTAGCAAATATAAAAAATGATGTTGAATATGAAGTTGGGTTGGAGATGAAAAACTCCAAATATGAAAATGCTTTAGAATTATAAGTTTAGTTTGAATTTGAGTAATTTTGATGTGTATTAACTTTATAATTATTAATTATATTAAATTAAATAAATCTAATTTATTATTAATAATAATATTATTTTTAATTATAAATATATTAAAAAAATAAGACTAAAACCACCGATTTAACCCAAAAAAAATTCTCCTACCGCCGCCGCCGCACCTCCCCTTCTTCTCCCTTCTTCATTTTCTTCTTCTTTTTCTTCTTTTCCTCCTGCTTCATTTTATTCTTCGTCCCCTTCTTCTCCATTCTTTTTTTTTGGTCGATTCTCCCTTCTTCTTCCTACTCTTCTTTTCCCTCCCTCCCGCTAATTGAAGGGTGTGTTCAGGCCTACAGGATAGAGCGCAGATATTGTCGGATTAGGCATGGTTTCGCGTCTCTCTCACCCTCTACAGGCTTTGTACTGTAAGTTCGGCCGAACTTAGACAAAAGAAACAAATGTTTGTTCGTCACTAGAATGTTGAGATGAAAGAGTTCAAATTTAAATAGTAAAAATTTTGAATTTAATAAATAAAAAATTTGATATTTTTTCTTTTTTAAAAAGAAATTAATAGTGAATTCTCAAACGAACGCACCCCTAATTAAACACACCCTCGATAAAATCGCTGTTATGTGGAGCCAATTTTGTTATATTGTTATCATTATATTATATAAAAGAGCAAATAATAATTACTATAATAATAAATATATTTAATAATAAAAAATGTCATGAAGAAGAGAGGCGCTGATATATATATATCGACTCCCACACGCAACTGGAAACGCAGATATCGACGCAGGCCGACCCTTCTGATCTTGCGTTGCGTCGCTCCTCCATTCTTCTCCTCTTCTCACCTCTCCTCCAACTGCTTACACGTAGGTAGAAGTAGGAGTTCTTTGTCGGAGGAGGGAGACTTTGGCTGTTTACCGCTCCGATTCCCATCCCGGCCTGCGTTTATTTTCAATTTTCTTGCTTCCTCTGAACTGAAGCTTGCGTTGTTTGGATTGGACTTTGGAGCTTAAAAAATCATTCAAGACAAATAAATTAGGTGTGCTTCGTTTGTGTTTTTGTAACTAATGGAAGAGTGTGATTGATTGATGTTCTTTTTGTTTTTTTTTTTTGGTTCTTTGAGTACTGATGGGTTTTAGTTTTTGTTCAGGTGTTTTTTCGTGTCGTCTTATTTCTCCATTGGTGTTTGATATGGAATAGTGAGGAACCTGTGGTGGAAGGAAGCATTGGGAATTTCGAGTCAGATTGAGAATTGGTTGGGGGAAATTCAACCGTATGGGGAATACATTGGGGAGAAGGAGGCAGGTTGTGGATGAGAAGTACACTAGGCCTCAGGGGTTGTACCAGCACAAAGATGTGGATCACAAGAAGCTCAGGAAGCTTATTCTGGATTCAAAATTGGCGCCTTGTTATCCTGGAGACGATGATTCCGCCTCTGACCTTGAAGAGTGTCCCATTTGCTTCTTGGTTTGTGCTTTATTCTTGCCTTCGCTTTTAATTTTCCATTTCAATATATTATCGATGACTCCTGAATGATACCCTTTTTGGATTGGTGTGAAGTTTAAATGGTTTTTTTTTCCGATGTAGATGGATTGTTTTTAAGGTGAAGTTTTTGCTTTGTTTAGTGGAAACATAATTGAATAAGAGAGAGCTAGTTGCTTTGAGGATTGGTAATCCTTTATTTTATCTGAGAATTGGCTTGTACTGTTATCAGCTAATAAGAACTTCATGTTTTCGAAGAAATGTTGAACAAACTTATAGTCTGAACTGTCCTCTGAGCTATCCCTGGATGAGATGTTCGCTGTTTGTCTTCTCACCTTCTAAGAAAATCAATACATACCTACTAGGATTACTTCGTCCTTTGAATAAGAACCCCGTGTTCACTTTACCGAGGTTATTCCTCCACCAAGTTGTTTAATATTTTAATATTGATCATTTAGAATTAAAGTAGTTGCTTGGGTCATTAAACAAACAAATTTTAACGCTAAGGAGTGTCAAGGCTGCCGTCTAGATTTTACTATCAAGGTTAGTTGGTTTGTGGTGGCCCGGACATTGGATGCCATAGAGGTTAGGCCAAAAAGCCGCTTATAAATATTCGATGAGGAATTGTTGTTCTAAAATTCTATCAAGCAGGGAACAGTGCTGTAATTGTATCTTTGTTTCGTATGCATTTCAATGTGATGCATTAGTATATTAATCTATTGTTAAGAGCTTAAACAAGAAAGAACCTCTAAGAGGTTAAGAGTACACTGTTTCGTCTTGTTGATGATAACACTTTTTATGCATTGGATGTCACTGTTTCTTCTTTGTATACATTCCTCTTGTTCAATTTTGGTGATTCTTTGTGTTGAATGTTTGTAGTTCTACCCAAGTCTTAATCGTTCGAGATGCTGCATGAAAGGCATTTGTACTGGTATGTGGTCTTCTTTTTGAGATATGGTTTATCCTAATTCCAAGAATGAGTATTTGTTCTCTCCCCTTGTATTTTTGAATCAATTCTTCTGTTTCTCTTTTAAGAATGTTTTCTGCAGATGAAGACTCCCAATTCTACCCGGCCGACACAGTATCCTTGATTTCTTGTCGTTGTTATTACCTATTCATCTACTGCTTATCGTATTTTTATACTTTCCTTAACTGCATAAGGTGCCCTTTTTGCAAAACATCCAACTATGCTGTTGAGTATCGAGGGGTTAAGACAAAGGAGGAGAAAGGCTTGGATCAACTTGTAAGAGCTGGTTACTGCTACTCTATTTTTTCTCGGTTCAAAGAAAAAGTGGGGGGGGGGGGGGGGAGGTGGGGGAATGACTTCATTAGGTTGTTGGAAGTCATGCAATTCGCCTTACAATGTGGGGGTTTTTTTGCATCCCCTTTTTTTGGTAGTATGGTTTTCTTGCACATAATTAAAAAATAATAAAAATTGACATGGTACTTTTTTGGACATGTTGACAGTCATTCTAAATGCAATATATGCATTTCATTTGCTCTTGTAGGAAGAACAACGAGTTATAGAAGCCAAAATAAGGATGAGGCAACAAGAACTTCATGAAGAGCAGGAAAGGATCCTCCAACGAAGAGAAATTCGTTCTAGCAGTATGAGAGTACCGACTGAGGTCGATTATTGCTCGACTAGAGGTAGTGATTTATTCCTTAGGATAAAAGTACTTCTTTTGTGCCAATACTCATTATTGTTTCTACGTCCAGCACCGTCTTATGCTTCCACTATAGAAAGTGCAGACATTGTTGCTTCACAAGAGTCACACCCTACTTCTGCCATAAGATCATCTCCATGCCAAGGGCAAAATAGGTACACAGTTTTATTACTTCACCGTAATTGGCTTAAATCCTTCTGTTTTAGATTTCATTTTTCTTAACTGGTGTAGACAACAAGGTTAATTGTGTGGATATTTTCTGAGTTAGTGAAAAATATTAAATAAGAATTTATATGGACTGTGACTAATGATCAATAATTTAGATTTTAGATCAAATTGTTTCTACTTGTGCCAGATAATAATATCTTCTTGTGTTGTCAAATTTTATTCTGAGGTGGCATTTGATGAGGGGAATTTGAGTAATTACTGTAGTTGTTTAGCTTCCTGCTGTCGAATTTTGGAATTTGAGATTACAATTTGAGTTCTTCGAATATGATAAGACATGGAGACTTTGTTTGGGATAATAGTTTAATTGTCTTTTGTAAGTAATAGATGAATTCCTTGATAGTTAATGTTATATTTAATGAAGTTGATTAGAATGCTTTAGTTATGGGATAATGTCGATGATTTAATATTATTATTTATACTCATAAATATATGTCGATGAAACACATAGGCTCTGCTTTTTATTTTTTCTTATTATGTCACTTTGTAGTTCCCTGTAAAAGCCATACAACATATCACATTAAATAACTATTTAACTCAAACTAAAACATAAACGTAAAGTAGACAAACCTTTAATGACGTAATAACTCCAATTACTTATGAAACATATAGGTAGCTAACATCCTTTACAATGTTTTCTTATATTTAAGCTCAGAGAATGTTTTTTGTCCTATATAAACTTTACTGAATGTTTACAGGAACTTGGAAGATAGATTAGATGACATGACTAGTAACAATTAACTGTTGCAGCTTCAAATATGAGGCATGCCAATCTATATTAGCATGTTTTGGGTAGTGATACTGATAAATTAGCTTAAAGCTGCAATTGGCATCTAATGACAATCGCTTACAACTTGTTATCTATTTTGAAGAGGAATGAGCAATCTGGAAGAGGTTTGAAACTTGTGGTAAATGTTTATGCTTAGGATATTGAAATTCTTATAAAAAAGCATCATGGTACATTTGTTATGCCGTAAAAGGCAATTTTTCCAAGAGTCTTATTTCCGCCTTAGTCTGTAGTGGTCTCCTATGTTTTCAATTTTGTGTTCCTTGTGTGGCTTGTTCTTGATATTGATGGTTATTCGATAAGATTTTGAATCTGTTAAGACATAATTTTTAAAAAATAATAAAAAATGGATGCCTCTTCTTATTAAATGATCATTTATGTGAGTTGGTATTTAATATAGTACAGATCCTGTAGTCGAATTGTACCGCTTTCTAGTAGTGAAAAAGTATTACATTCTAAAGCTTTGTGGAAAAGTGATCTCTTGCATATATGTGAGTGGATGTATTGGGAATATTAATAAATAAATAATAACGTGTCTCTCTATTTAAAGTTTCTAACCGAGTCGGTCATTTATCAAAAGCACCATTTACGCCATTTTGTGAAGAGATGGTGCAGGGTGTAAAACATCATATCTAACAATTATTTCACTCCAAAGATATTAAAACAAAAAACAAAAACCTTTAAAAAGGAAATGCCCAAGTAAACAAACTGGTAGGCTTGCTGAAGCTTTGAGTTTATGATTTTTCAACAATACTAGATGAAATAAAAGACTAGGTTCTGTTCAAAATTCATAACTAATTACAATACTGCATCTCAACTGTATTCTATGTATATAACAAATGCAACTAATATTTCTTTTTTTACAAGCATGTGTTTAATTCATTTCTCTGTTCAACATAAGCTTTTAGGGAAATATTGTGAGTGTATTCATCTACGAATTTTGGATTACATATTACCTTTCTTGACACCATCAAAGATTTCAAATTAACATACTTACCTTATCTCATATCCAACCATTTCCACTATGTATTTGTTTTTCACAAAGTGTATCTTTGTTCTCTCTTTAGATTTTATTAAATTAAAATGGATTACATTTTTCCTTTCTTGGCTCACCATCAATGATTTCAAAATTTCATCCTTCCATAAATTTTCATACTTTCTTCTACAAAAAAAATCATACTTAATTACCTTACCACATAATCCATCCCTTTCCACTATGCATTTGTTATTCTGCCTTAAAAGGTTGTCTGAAATTTAAAATCAAAATTGAAAGGGCTTGATTCAACATTTGCATGTCATTAACACTCTATTGTGTGGGTCTCAATTATTATAATTATTGCTTGTGCTATATTATTAAAAAGCATTTTTTATTTATTTTTTATTTATTTATTTATTTATTTTTATTTTCATGGTAAGACTGAATGATGGGTTTAGTATTAATAAGGATGTAGGATTGGTGTCTCATGTAAACTCACTCCAAATGCAATTATTAGCACTTGCCGGTGCCCACTGACTCCTATATTTCATTCGCGAAAGTGTTAATAGCTCATCCTAACAACAACAGTTCTTGTGGCAACAATAAATATTAGAACAAGAATTAGTGTTCTTTAGCAATAAAGTCAACTAAAAAATGACAACGGTACAAAGATTATTCTACTTTTAAGTATCTTCATCACATGAAATTTATGTACTAAATGGACTGGTGCATTATTCTTTTATATGCGTTTATTTTGATTTGAAAATTGTAGTTGGCTTCATGGTGAAAGTTACTCTAATTCAATTTTTCGAGTCTGCTCAAATTTATGTTATGAAAATGTTAGGTTGGGAAACTGGTTCTTGCTCTTATAAATAGTAAGGGAGAATTCTGAATCCCAGAGTGTGTGGAATAAGAAGATTATAATCATGAGGTGTAAGTGGTTGGTAGGGCTAATGATTTCTGACATGGTCTCGAGAGACAGGAAAATAATTGGATTCACTCGTCAATAAATAATTATGTTTAGTTCAAACTCAATTGACTCGTATAACTCATTTGATCTGTTAAAACCTAAAACCATTGTATCTATATTTAAATTTACATTAATGTTTTTAGCCAAAGAATAAAGGGAAAATATTAGGTGACAGACTAGAAATTGTAAATATAAGAATGCTTATGAAATGTATTATGCATTTTTATTGGTTTGATTTAATTTTTTTTTGAACAAATTTTATTTAGATCTTGTACACACACATATTGGCTCGGATTATGGATTCGAAATGATCTCTTTTTTTATTTATTTAATAAATGTAGAATTATATTCACAAGTGTTGGATTAGCTGAAGGATTCTGTTTCAGATTGATAAAATAACTTGCATTTTCATGTTTTTTTTTATTTTATTTTTTATTTTTCTTTATTTTTGCACATATTGGCTTCTCGATTGTTTAACAAAATGTTGAGATACTATTCACAGTGTTGTATTACTACTGATCTCTACTTTGATATGATATATAACAAATTCTAGCTTTGAAATTATAAAAACACTAAAATGTATTACTTTAGTCCAAAATTACTTCATGCTAGGATATTTAAATTGTTAAAAATAATCAATATTCTAGCAATTAACTGATACCCACTTCAGATTATTTAAACTTCTAATTAAAAAACTGATTGTGAACACAGATGAATTAAGAACAAAAACTTAAGAATTTATAGATTACCATGGAAAGTAAAGATTATTAACTGTTTTACTTACAATCATGAGTTCCAATTAAAAAATTTTGTTAACTTTTTATTCAACATGAACCAACATTATGAAAAGTGCACCTTGGAAGCTTCTGTTTGCATGAAAGTTCAAATGTCACCGTTTTCCTGATGATATTGAAATGATTTTATAGAGGCTAAATTATGATTTGCGAAACCACTGCTTTATCGGGATATGTATCTTTTGTGTGAATTCCGAACACAAGGTGTTTTTGTTTATTTGAAAAGTGATAAATAACTATATATATATATTCATATAAAATGTTCTAAAATAACTTGACCACATAATTGCATCAGTATCCGATGGTCATTGGTTAGGTTTAGGATGTAGCAAACAAGAATAAGATTTTTTGGGGGGTTAGATGTTTCGAAATATTTTCGTTTTGTGTGAGTGAGGATAATATATCCAAGCACATGCCTAATTGTTTCCGATTTTGAATGTAGGGAGGATGACTTCGACGTCGATATAGAAGAAATAATGATAATGGAAGCCATATGGTTGTCGATTCAGGTATTCATTCACACAGTCAGTTCTTACAGAATCTCTTTTCCTACAGATTCTGCCATCTTTTTTATCTGAAAGTTGTACATGTCATTTTAAAACAAGATTTGAGTCCGGGGATCCAAAGATGCTAAATTATAGTAATCTATGACTGTGATTATTGACAGGAGAATGGTGCGTGCCAAAATTCACCCTACAACGAAACAGCTGAATCAGCTGGCTTTCCAGCAGATGACGGCTGTTCCTTCCCGGCCATGGGCAGATCAACAACTTCATCTCCTTCCAGCAGCCTCGCCTGTGCAATCGCTGAATGTCAACAGAACAACAGTGGAGAGAGCTCCCATAACTACAGTAGGAACACGCCCAATTGGGATGAGCAGGAGGCCGGGACTTATTTCCCGGGAGAGAGTCCGCCAGATGCCCAATTAGCAACAACCAGTGAATGGGGGGATCATAGATCTGATGAGATAGGCAATGAATTTGATGAGGCTATTGGTTGTGAGCCTCAAGCCGTGGCTGGGGCCATAGTTCCCGAATCCTTTGAGGAGCAAATGATGGTGGCCATGGCTGTTTCGTTGGCGGAGGCTCGATCCAGGAGTAGTACCCCCGGGGTTGCTTGGCAATGACACGTGTTGTGATGTGAGGTACGGTTAGTTAAATCACTCTCTCTCTCTCTCTTCCTCTTGATAAAGGATTTTTGAAAGAATCTTGGTAATAAATTGACTACGTTGTTCTTAGTTAGGCGGGAGATTGGAAGTTGCTGATGAGTTTGATTGATGGCAGTGGAGGTTCTCTTCAAACCCTACAGGATGATGATGATGATGATTATATATATATATATAGACAGATAGATACACGTATGAATGTATGTATATGTTATGTGTAGATTGATTGGACAAGAGAGAGAGAGAGAGAGAGAGAGAGAGAGAGAGAGAGACGATCACAGAGTTTAGTTATAACTTGCTGGTGTTGTAGTGTTGTGATGTGTCTAAAAAATGTGTTGGTTCTTAGTTGGAATTTGTTTTGTAAGGTGGATGGATAGATACATTCGTTTAATGATTTTATTTTATTTTATTTATCTATTTTATTTTAGGACATGGGAAGCTACAGCTGTTATCCAAATCGAAAATGCACTAGTCATATTAGGCGTATTGCGACTGAGCATCATATAACTTTTAATGATAACTTTTAATGATTTTATTTTGTTATTTTACTGTTAAAGGGTTGTTATAGCTTAAGAAGCGAAAGAGAGAAAAAGTGAGTGATAAATATATATTTATCAGGTTATATATATTTAAATTTTTTAGATTTTTTTAATTATCTAATTATTTTTTAAATATATTAAGTTAATATATATATATTTTAAAATTATTATACTCCGATTGACATATTTTTTGTCCGATTCATTTTAGTGGGTATATATTTATTTTTGATAATATTTATTAGATCGAATCTATTTAAAATTCTTTAATTTTTATCAATATTTTTAATAAACAATATTTGTATTTACTTAATTTTTTTTTTTTTATAAAATTAGTTTATCTTAACTATAAATTTTATATATTTAAAATTTATTTAATTCTTTACAAATAAAATGATATCTATATTTTATATATTTTTATTAAAATATCAATTTTAAAATATTTAAATACATTTAATTATTTTCATCACATTAATTTTTTTATTTGAAATATGTAAAGCCCATCCAACCCATATCATAAACCACTAGTCCAATCCAAAATGTTGAACTATTATAAGCCCATTTAATTTCCTAAAATAAAACGACATTATTTGATTTTTGCAAGAATTAAAATAAACTAAAAGAAATAAAATGAACATCATACCTTCAATATGAAGTAAAACATTCACATGTGATATTACAAAATTGTGTCAAATCGTTCGTACTTTCAAAACTTTATCATAATCTCTTATAATTTTATAAATTCTACGTCTAACCTCTTAAGTCGTTCTTATTTAACGGTATTTGACCCGTATACATCTAAATTGCGAATGAGTTTCAAAATCTCTATTTTCAAATCTTAAAAATTACAAATATACTTACTATTTTTATATTTATCCTCAAGGAACAATAAACATAATAAAAAATAGTTGTTTCTCTCTTATTCTACGATTTTTTATTTTATTTTATTTTATTTACTGTTTCTTGAGATTAAATTTAAAAGATGAATATATTTGTAATTTTATGGATTTATAAATGGAAATTTTGAAATAATTCACAATTTGGACGTATTTAAATCAAACATTGTTAAATAAGGGCGAATAAGGAGTTAACCATAGACTTTATGAAACCATGACCCAATTTTGAAAGTACAGAGATTTGTCGTAATTTCGTGAAATCGCAGATAAATTTTGTACAATTTTGTCTAATATGACCAATAGTTTGAAAGAAATTGAGATTCATAAAATGAAAAAAAAATATATTATATTGGATATACAGTAGTCCAATTTTTGTGTTGATTTAATAAAATTAACACAAATCAACGAAGACAACACATATTTGACAGCATATTATAGTACAATATACAATATATATTTTGACAACACATGATATAATTTTACATAATATAATATATTATTAATTTAAGCAAATAAATATATATATATACATAGTACAATATATAATTTCCACAACACATAATCCTATATGATATGATATTAATTGTGCAATATATATATATATATGCTACCCACCGATATGTGTATATATATATTGAAATGAAATCATGTATGTAAGCGTATATATATGCATTTCATTTAATATTTGAACTAATATATTATATTCGTGTATTTAATGCCTTGGGGATTTTCGTTTGCAAATATATGATTAATGGCTGCATTTCGAGCTTTTATGTGAGACTGTCATTCTGCATCCGATATGGTATCAGAGCCTAGACTAGATTTCGAGTTTGAGTCCCGCCCATCCCATTTGCGACACATGCATATGCAAGTTTCGTAGACCCATTTGCACATGAGAGAGCGTGTTGGAGACTCCCGTTTACAGATATATGATTAATGACTGCGTTTCTCTAACTGAAAAATAATTGAAGTTTCTCAAGTTTGTGGCCGATGGGACATGAGTTTCTCAAGTCCTATAACTGCACAAGGTGCTCAACAATCCTAAGGCACAAATAAGTTTAAACTTGAGCTCGAGTTCGGCTCAAATTATATATATTTAATATAAATTAAATAAATATAATTTTATTTACGGTTCATTATTATAAATTATTAAAATTTTATTAATAAATGTAAGTTTTGACATATATAATATTACTCCCTCCGTCTTAGGTAATTTGGGCGTGTAGACACATGAATTTAGGTAAAATATGATTAGTAAGTAATTAAGAAGTGTATTAGTAAAAATAATTATTGTATAGTAAAAATAATTATAGATTAAAATTAAGATAACTAAATACTTTAATTTAGATTAAAAAAAATTATAAAATATAAAGTTTAAAATGTAATTAAAGTGTATAATTATATTTAAAAAAAAATGACAAGTTATGTGGGACGGACAAAAATAAAAAATAGAGATAAATTATGTGGGACGGAGAGAGTAATACATAAAACAATACAAATAGACCATTATTAATGAGCTCAATCGATCTATTTGTGAGCGGAGCTGGAGCTGGAGCTAGAGCTCGACCTATTTACAAAAACAATAATTCTCAAGCTTAAGCTCAACCTATTTATCTTTTTAAACACGTTGAGTCGAGCTGTTAATGAGACGAGTCAAACATGGCTCGTAAGCTACTCGATTTGCTTAACAATTCTACCATCATCGAAGTTATTCATAGGGTATATGGAGACCCAATGAGATTACGGCAAGACTTTTTTTTTTTTTTTTTTTTTATCAAAGATCTTATCGGGATTATATAGTACAAGAGCATTCATTTTTTAGGAATACGAGAATCCCATAATTCACTTTGTGTTTTAGGACTCTTGTCCTACAGTCGAGCAGATCAACCATTTTACGGTTCAATGAACAACAATGAATCATATAAGTTTCACCTATTTTATTTTTATATAAGACAAAAGTTACTTGCATAATAAACTATTGATGTTATAAGTTTCAAATCTACGCTCACTTTCCTTTTTGGGTTGTCATCGAAAACTATTCTCTTTAGGTAAAAAAATTATTACATTTTTATACTTTTTTACTATAAAAGAAAAAAATAACAATTATTACTCACTTTTATTAATTTTCGTGCCCGCTCAAATGAACACAAATTTGCATTATGAAGGGAATATAAATTTTTACATATTTTATTATTTATATTAACAGAAAATACGCTAAAATTGTAATAATATTTATTTTTATTTAATTCAAGATTCAAATAATAAATATAATAAATGTGTGATTCTTAATAATTACTTTGGAAAAAGAAATTATATAATAAATAAAATAATAAAATATATTTTTAATAAAGTATAAGAGTGCACTATCCAATTTTTTACCCTGAGAATAATGTTCCATTTATACTTACACTTAGACTTGTTTAAACGGTTCAAACCGCCTGTTAAGATTACAAATCGCCCATTACGGTTTGTCAGAATTTCAAATCGAAATCGAACATTTCGAATGACAGTTTCGACTACGATTTGATAGTTTCGATTATGTTTTATGAACTGACAGTTTCGGTTTAAAAACTGCTGGTTACGGTTTGAACCGCCGGTTTATATTACTTCTTTTTTCGATTTTTTCTTAATATTAATTTTTAAGATTAATTTTGATTCCAATTTTAATTTACTTAATCTTTGTAATTTTGTGAAAAATTATATAAATAATACTTTGCTTTTATAAAATAATTATTTATCAATTTATTAATTAAAAATTAAGAATGCAATTATAATTTATACAATTGTTTAATAAGTTAATTTTTAAATTGTATCACACTATTAGAAATTAAAAATATTTTGTTTAAGACTAAGATTCTTTTATTTATTTATTTATTTCATTTACATTAGAAATTAAATTTATAAATTATTTAATTAGATATTCCAAATATTGTCGACTTTTAAAATATTTATTTGACTTTATTATTTATTTTTACAATTGTAAAATAAGTGTAGTTTTTTTGTTTCATCAAATCTCGGTCGTCGGCTTTGCATTAATTAATCTTGACCGTTCATTTTAAAAAATTAAACCCGCCCAAATCAGTAGTTTCAGTTTGAAATTAAGTCTGCCCAAACTGGCACCGATTTCGATTTGAACCGGCGATTTACAATTTGATTCAAATACAAATCGAAACCGAACTATCGGATTAACGATTACGATTCGGTTTGAGCCCGATTTCAGTTCAAACCGAAACCGCTGGTTTGTAAACCGGCAAACCGGTGGTTTGGAATCGAATGAGTAAGTCTACTTACACTAAATTCAGGAGTATTGGATCCTTTCCTGTTTTCTTTTTTTTTTTTTAAAAAAATATTTTTAATATAAAATGATTATTAAACAGAATATTAGATAATAATATAATATAATAAAATAACAAAGAAATCAAACCAATATATATTTGTTATTGCGAAAGACATCCACTTTAGGAATTATTTATGGCTAGCTGTCTCCTAAATTTTATAAAGTATAATTATTATAAACTTAAATAAATAAACAAGTTGTATCTTAAAATATTCATAATATAGGCTAATGTGTAACTAACACAACCACTAAATTTATTAGTAATAGTAACATAATTTTATATTCGGTGGATAAAAGTTCATTGAACAAATCCAAATCTATATTGTAACCCCTGTTTAGACAGATCATAATCGGATCTGCAGCATCTTCGAAGCGATCAATATATACTTATACATAATTTAACATATTTATATTATAATATAAGTCAGTATATGTTATTTTATAACATAATATATATTAAAATATGTATAAATATATATTAGTCATTCCTAACATATATTGATTCGATCAAATCAGCACTACGTTGACTTAGCCGTATCAACACAGATGGTCAGCCCTTTTCGATTATTTCAAATGTAATTTATTTATGGGTTGTGTTTTAGTAAAAATGAACAAGACACTCTATGTTTTATTTATTGCGTGAA